AAAAAAAAAAAAAAAAAAACAACTCAACCAACAACCGTCCCAACAGTCAATAAAAAAAATTATAATCAAAAGTCGAGCGTACAGTAAATAAAAAAAACAACAACATTATTTACATAAAACATCAACGCTGCGTCGCTCTCTCCCAGTCTACCTTAACTACGACCAGAGCGTCTACGTACTCCTTCGTCAAATCAGGATCAACACGCTCGAACCGCGATATGTACGCAGAGTGGACGTCGTCCAAACGTTTGATCCACTATCCACAAATCGAAGAGTTACAATAAATAAACAACATTATAATGAAAGCACACATTGAGAACAAAAATAAAATAAATAAACGACTTACATAAGAAGCATCGACGCCCGAAGGGACTGGGGGAGGCTCCGTGGGATCGCCACCCAACAGCTTCGGACGAGAAACCCGAGCGAACCACTCGGAGTACCCCAGCTCGACCTCCCCTGGTGTAACTGTGGTGGGGGTGTAGGCAACCAGGTTGACAGCCAACAACTGCGGGAATTCGTCCCAGGAATCATCTGCAGCTTCTGCAGAGTGCTCGACCTTGTACAACCTAGACTCCCAAGCCCGTACTACACTGGATGGCCGACGGATCTTGGGAGGGATATGCTGGACGTGGCCCAGCTGACGCAACAACCGCAGAGGATTGTAGGGCTCTACGATGTCGCGGTACCTAATGCACCCGACATAGAGGGTCCTAGCCTCGATATCAACGGGGTTGCGGCCGTACGGCAACCAGTTCACCTGTTCAAAATTGCACACAAACATTTATTATAACACTCATATTTTTTAAAAAATAATATTTAACAAAATGTAAATAACACTTATAACATTCACATACCTGGTCCACCCTGAACTGGTCAAGGGCGACACGGTAACCCTGAAGGCGATCTGCGGACCTCCGAGTCACAGCCGTGCTCCACCAGGTAGAACGTGCGGGAGCGCCATCTACTGGCCGGGGCGCCTCGTGGGGGCGAAAGGGCAGGAAGTACTCGAAAATCTAGGTCTGCAGGAGAGCCAAACAGCCAGTCAGTCCCTTGGAGTCCCCCCTGCTGGCAACACCTAACTGTCTGTATAGGTATGCCAGTGTAGCCGAGCCCCAGGAGTACTCCGAAACTTTAGCCGTGTCCTTGCTAATCTCGTGCAGGACCTTCGGACTAATCCTGTTACCACTCTTGTCTGCGAACAAGGTGGTACCCATCACCATCCATAGCCATGCGGCTGCCTCCTGGTCAGCCGGCCGAGACTCGTCCAGCCCCCTGAATGCGACCGAAACGGCGGCAGTGGTCACCGCGCCGTGATCCCAGTAGGTGTCCATCAGCTCTCTCTGGTCCACCCCCAGCATCTCCATGCAGTACGCACAGAGTCTCTCAGCGGTCGGGTCCCCTGCCACTACACGTCCATCCACGGGAATCCCCAAAATGGCCCGAACATCGTGCAGCATTATACTCATTTCACCAAAAGGCAGGTGAAACGAGTTAGTATCGGGCTGCCAACGCTCCACGAATGCAGAAAGTAGTGGAGTGTCCAGGTGCGCATGCATGGAGTCCGTCAGATGTGACAGCCCCGACTGATCTATCAAAGCACGTGGCTCGAGATCCATGTCGGCGAGCCACTCCTTGAAAGTGTCGTGCGCTCCATGCCTGTTTTGGCATTTCATTATGCCTCTAACATGCCGGTCTGGCTCAGGCAACATCATACGGGTTGGCCACGTGCCCTAGAAAGCCAGGGATAACGCTCCCGTCACTGGGGCCACTGGGTACTGGGGCTTTAACGATCCAAGACTCCTCACCCTTAGCCCGTTTGCTACTCGAACCTACATTTACAATACAACAAATAAGCATAGATATATACACGCCATATTGTGACTTATTGTTTAGTTAATTAAAAGATATTTTTTTAATAAACTATAAATAACTAATTATTCCATTAACGCTCAAATATAAATGTAGTAGTCATTAATTTTATTTTAAAATTATACTAATAAATTAAGAACAAAATATAGTAGTGAGTGAAATTATTTTTAATTATACTAATAAAATTATCGACGACTACATATCCGGAGCGAGAGATCGTCTTATGAATAGTAAAAGTTTTAGGAAAATCATATCGTATTGTAGATTTGATAGTTAAAAATAAAATCACCTTGTTAGATGAAATGAAAATAAATTTTAAGTTATGTTATATGTGTGCATCAAAGTATTGTAAGTTAGGAATAATTTTTTTGATATTTACCAACGGAATAAATCCTTTTCTGTTGCTAAGACAACACAATATTTATTTTGAATTTGTTTAAATATTATTAAATTAATTACATAACTAAATAATATTACTAAATAAAAATATATGTAACTGACAAAATAGACAACTACATGTTAGATATATACACGACATATTGTGACTGACTATATCAATGATATGCTATTAGTAAATAAAAGTATATGTAACTAACAGTAAAAAATTAAAGTACGTAAAATATTTACCAGAGGAGGATGCAGTACCCGCTTAACGGCCTCCAGCCTGTCGTGGAGGAGCAGGTCGTACCGGTCATACATGGGGAGGAGGAAGTGACGTGGTCTGCTCGTCTCCAGAGTCAAGCTCCTCGCCCTCATCATCGTCTTGGTCATCGTCCTGCTGATAATAGTGGACCGGACTCTCGACGATCGGAGCCGACGACTGACGAATACGTATCCTCGTCGGCATCCTGCCAGCCATCGATGAGCTGGGCTGCCCACCGCTCTGCTGACCACTCGGTTCCGAAGGAACGATCAGTGGCAATCTCCTAGCCATCTCAGCCTGAGCTAACTAAGCCTCACGGATCCTCGCCTCCCTCACCCGACGAGCGTCGGCATCTACAAACCGACTCTGCGTGTGTCGGAGTCCAGAACCGTCAAGCTCACCAAACTCCATAACTCGCTCAGATCCATCACTCTAAATCCACAAATTAAACTAATAATTAATAATAAACAATTTTAAACAATTTTAATAATATTATACAATTTATAATAATTACTATATTTATATATTAAATAAAATTTATTTATATATTTTAAATAATTTTATATTATTTTATATAATTTTATTTATATATTTTCAATAATTATAGTTTCTATTATTTATTTATAATATATTCAATTATTTATTTATAATATATTCAATTAATTTTAATATATTCAATTAATTTTCTTATTTTCATTAATTTTTAAAATTTTTAAACTTTTTAGCATTAAATAAAAAAAATAAAAATTTATTAATATTTTTTTAATATTATATTAAAAAAAAACAATTTTAATAATTTTATACAATTTATAATAATTACTATATTTATATATTAAATAAATTTTATTTATATATTTTAAACTATTTTATTTATATAATATATATTCAATTATTTAATATAAGTTTCTATTATTTTCGAAATATTTAATATTTTTTATATTATTTTCAATTAATTTAAAATTTAGAAAAAAATAAATTTAAAAAAAAATTAAAAAGGGCCGGCAGACGGCGACCGGAAAACGCATGGCCGGCCGCCATTACATGCGGCAGCACCGTCGGCCGGCCGCAAAAGCCGGCGGATAACGGCTTTGGCCGGCCCGTAACAACCGGCCTAGGGTGGCCGGCACACACCTACGCCGAACATGGCCGGCACCCGCGGCCGGCCTTGCCAATTTTAATTTTATTTTAAATTTACAACCTAATTTTTTTATTCAAGGAAAGAAAATTATATTATACTATTGAATATAAATCTAACAATATCAAAAAAATTAAGTTAAATAAAGCAACAATATCACGAGCACGTGCATTTTGCTAGTAACTGCAAAAGCAAGATCTACCGTCTCCTGAACATCATGATTATGAGGTGGGTTGTGGATAATGAATTTCACATATATATATATATAAATGAATATCGATTGAAAACACACCAAAATCATGTTAGCCATAGCAGAACAACCACTAAAGAACCATTGTAATACTAAAATTCCAAAGAGGATCGCAAGAAGTGGAGCATTAAAATAAATTACAACCTGATATTCAATCAATACTAAGCTTGGGTAGCAATTTGGAGACCAAATGGAATTGTGATCATCTAATGATACTTTACTGCCCAATTAAATCTAACCAGACCGCCACAGCGGCCGCAGCTACAAACACAAAATCTAGTACATGAGATCAGTTTCTTTTCAGCTATTAGCAGCCACATCTAATCTGTTTCAGAGCTTTCGAAACAATAATCAACTTTGCAGCGAATAGAAAGACATAGATTTTTTCCCTCACAAGAACTCAAATCCTACCAGCTTCAACCCGAGGAAATATCGCTTTAATGAAGTCAAAGCATGCCTAGAATAGGTGCTAGGGGTGGTACAAAAGGCTGGTACAGGAATTTTCATTTTTTCAAACACAAAATAAACTTTCTTCTTTCACTTTTTGCTTCACCAAACAAACCGTGAACATCATGGACATCTGCAAAACTGTGATGAAATTATTTAAGAGTAATGACTTTGTGTTAACCATTTTCTAGCCATTCCCCCACAACATATTCCACCACAGAACTCATTAATATAAATTATTGATCTTAGAGAAACACCATTACACCAGGTAAAACTAGGAAATAAATGACTTTGTACCAGACAATACCAGGAGCCAAGCTAGCAAAAAGTTCAAAGTGAAAACGAAACTAGAATTAGCTGTAGATAAACTACTATGAAAACATAAGAATCCAAGTCCATAAAGTCAAATCAGCCGCGACTTGGGAAGTACCACATAGGTCCCGGGGAAATCTTTTTCAAGCTCTGAGCATCACATGGATAGTAGCACGGAGACACCGTCTTGTTTTCATAATTGAAAATGCCAACGTCATGACCTCCACATGGATAGTCGCCAAATCCAATCCAAGGCCTCAAAACATCAGTGAAGTAAATGGATCCGGGCTTGACAACCTCCGGGCAATGGGCCACTGGCAAAGCAACTGCATCGCTGTAGAAGCCAACAAACAGAGCCCACCCACCCAGAAACGAATCCTCCACACACTTAACACCCGCAGTGGCAGGATCATATCTCTCAACATCAAAATCAATAGTCACATACGGAAAGCCTTGTTCGTAGATAGAGCCGGTGGGGTCGTTATTCGTGTCAATATACAAACCGTCGGGGAGCACGCTCATCAGCACATACTGAGTCACCAAGAGGAGGTCCTCCCCAGCAGCCACCAGATGATCCACGGACTCACACGTCAGGTCTTTGGGACGCCATGGATTCTTTTCCTCCGAAAAATCCATTTTCCGGCAGTCAACGAGACTCGGGGACAGAGGATCCCCAAGGTCCCAAGACACCAAGTCATAAGAGCAGGTGAGGCCAAACAAGAGTTGATGTTCTTTGGAATATACACAATTCTTGTACCCTAAACCGACGTTGGTGCTTGTCTCCCCATCCACAATACAGGTCCACTCCTTGCTGGACCCAGGGCAGCAGTAGGCCATGACAGCTGGGCAATTGTAAGTCATAATGGCACGGCAATTTTGTTCATCATCATCCGGGGAGCATGATAGGATTATCTTATCCACACACATTGAGCTGTAGCGGGAGGCAGCCAGCAGGTTGTTAATTGGGGGAAGCTTTACGTGGCAGTCGGAGATGGGGTTGTAGAGGAACATGTCTAGGGTGTTGGGGTTGAGCAGGGAAAGCCAACCGTGAGAGGAGCCCACAATATCCATCAGGTCTCCCATGAAATCCTTTTTCGCGGCTGTAGACACCACTCTGTCTTCCAAGAGGCTGTAGAACTTGTAACGCATGGTTGGGGCGGCGTTGGGGCCGGCTTCGAAGACGGGAGGCAGCATCAACCAAGGAGATGCTAAAGATGCAATCTTTTGTTCTGTGGGATCTGAAATCACGGTGTCGGCCGCCGTGCTCATCCGGCGAGCGGCTCCAATTGGATAAACCCTAAACCGACCGCAACGTTCATGAACAGAAGAAGGAGAAGATCCCGCCTTCCATTTTCCAAAAATCAAATAGGTAGAAAATCCGGCGAGCCCTTTCCGACACATCGAAGCCATTGATTAACTCCAACGTCGGCAGAATCAGTCCGTCTTCAACTTTTTTTTTTTTTCGATTTGGTTTATTTCGTGCTAGTTAAGTTTCAAATGACCTTTTTTTTATTATATATATATACATATTATTACAGAAGGGATCATATGAGAATGAATGGTAGTAAAAGAAATGAGAATAAATCTGAAACATAAGATCAAACATATTAATGGTTATGATGAAATCAAATTGTGGTCAATCATTAATGGTAATATAGTAATTTAACATAAACACTAAGGTCAATGTACATATTTGACCACTAAATAAGGGTAGATTGAACATTACACACACAATGGGTCCCATCATAACCTACACACCACATTTAATATCTTTCTCTCCCTCACAATCACACCAAAAACACACACTTACACACACACAAAA